CATGATAATATAAGACACTCTTCACAGTAGTTAATTTTAGTCAGAATTACAGATATAATGTTCATCCTCAATAAAAATATATATATACATATTTTTTTTAAGTGCAAGTTAAGAACTGGGTAAAACCAAAATACAACTTTCATTAAAAATGTCCAAGGTCCCTGTGTTCCAAATGAAGTACTTTTGGAAATGTAACTTTTTCAAAATTTCTACTGAAATTGTTTTTTGAAAGTTTTTATTGACCAAAGGGTCAACTTTCAGTGAACCTATAGGTTTAATAAGGTTGGCAAAAACATTTTCCAAAAATGGATTGAAAAAAGACCCAACCTTTTGGTGGGGAAAAATCAGAAGTTAACAACTTCTCAGGAACAGTTTCCCTGTAAAAAAGGCTTCACCTGATTTAAACAATAAAGCAGCCAACTAACTTTGACTGGTTCTAGATTAAAAAGGCAAAAACTGTCTAAAATAGTGGTTCTCAACCTTTTTTTGTCCCAGGAGCCATTTGTAAACATCAATGGCCAGTCCTGACCCAGTGCCCCTCACTCCCAACCTACTGCCCTCCACCCCCAGGCCCCCAGTGTGTGGGGCAGGGGGGAGGTGTGTGTGGTTTGTGGGGAATGGGGGGCCCCAAGCAGCCCCTTGCAGGCTGGAACTCTAGGTGACTCTACCACTTCTGGACACCCTAACTTCATTATTTCCATATCACTGACAGCCAAAATCACTGCTCAGCTAACTAAACCTACAGGCATCTAAACAGGCAGAGTGGGGAACTGAGCCAGTGAAAGCACTAAGCTGTTCACTATTCTGGGATTAAAAGATTCAATATCATCTACTCTTATGCACAGCTACAATCTAAATTAAGTGTAACAACTAAGCAAAGTAACCCAGGGGGCTTTGTAGATAGATCAGTGAAAACCTCTGCACTGTGTGCAGTGGTTGTTAAAAATGTTAGTATGGATAGATAAGTGAATAAAAAATAATACTGAGACTATACTAATGCCACGATGTAAATTGATAGGACACCCAATGTGGAATATGGCATTCAAATCTTGTTGCCTCATCTCAAAAATATATAGTAGAATTATTTTCATAGATTTCATAGACATTAGGGCTGGAAGGGACCTCGGGAGGTCAACAAGTCCAGTCCCCTGCCCAAGGGCAGGAAGTCAGCTAGGGTCACAGGATCCCAGCAAGATAAGCATCCAAATGCTTCTTAAAGGAATCCAGAGTAAGTGCTTACACCACCTCTGGAGGGAGCCTATTCCAGGCCTTGGGGGCTCAGACAGTAAATAAGTTTTTCCTTACATTCAGCCTAAAACAGTCTTGGAGGAGTTTGTGACCATTTGACCTTGTCATCCCTTGGGGTGCTTTGGTGAACAGATGTTCCCCCAGATCCTGATGCACACCCATAATGTATTTATAGGCTGCCACCAGGTCACCCCTGAGCCTGCGCTCTTCCAGGCTGAAGAGTCCCATGAACAGTCACATCTATGTGAATGATAAAAATGTCATCCACAAGCACAGTGGCTAGGATAGAAGTCTGTAAGGGATCTTCATGTTGAGGACAACAGCCAGGTAACCAACTGTCTGAGAGAAGGCAGCCACTTGCCCTCATGAGCAGGTTTCTGCAGAACTGTCCCTTATGGGAGTTTCATGTTTTTCTTTGGGGTATGTGATTAAAAGCCTTCTGGTGGAAGTGGAAGAATGATGCTCTATCATGTTCAGGCCCATTATACCTTCTACTCTGTCCAGTCTTTAAAGCAGATGCAGACGCTTCCCTGAGAATCCCCCCATGCAAGGAGCCTCTGCTGCTAGTGGAAGGGTCCAGCACAGAGGCAGTGCAGCACAGGGGTAGTGTAGGCATTAAGGCTGTTTTCTCTCTCCATGGGCTGTGGAGAGGTCAGAGCTGGTTACAGGAGTCTGAGCCCAACCTGAATCAGATCAACATAAACCCTGAAAAATGCTCTAGTCACCCTGTGTGTAGAAGTCTGGCACAGTTCCACTTCCAAACCCATGTCCAGTCTTAGTGACAGAGCTGTTGGGTCAGTAGAAGGTGTCAGCATTTGTTCCCGCAGTCTGCTCACTGACGGGCAAAGGTACAGACAAAAATATGTTACAGAAGTAGGTGTTACAAAAATACATGTGTGCAAATCCATAGTTTCATAGTTGGTAGACCTGGAAGTGACCTGAGCTGATCATCAAATCCAACCCCCTGCCATGGGCAGGAAAAAATACTTGGTTCAAATGACCCCAGCTAGGTGATTATCCAGTCTCCTTTTGAAGACCCCCAGGATAGGAGCGAGCACCACTTCCCTTGGGAGTTGGTTCCAGATCCTAGCCGCCCTGACTGTGAAGTAGCGCCTCCTGATGTCTAGCCTGAATCTACTCTCAGTCGACTTATGGCTGCTATTCCTTGTTACTCCCAGTAGTGCTTGGGGGAACAGGCACTCTCCCGTTGCCTGCTGGTCACCTCCTTGGACCTGCTCGTGATGTATCTGTGAATGCATGACAAGGTGCGGTTGGCCTTCCTGACTGCATCCTCACACTGTCGGCCCATGTTCATTTTGGCATCAATAATGACTCCAAGATCCTTTTCTGCCTCTGCACTGGCAAGAAGGGAGTTCCCCAGCCTGCAGGTGTGCTGCTGGTTCTTACTCCCCAGGTGCAGCACCATGCACTTGTCAGTATTGAAACTCATCCTGTTCTCATCTGCCCACCCCTGTAACCTATCCAGATCTAGTTGTAGCCTGTCCCTTTCCCCTAGTGTGCCCACTTTTCCCCTCATCTTAGTGTCATCCATGAATTTGAACAAGGTGCTTTTCACCCCCTCGTCCAAGTCACTGATGAAGATGTTGAACAGTGAGGGCCCAAGGACCGAGCCCTGGGGAACCCCACTGCCCACATCCCTGATATTCCACATCCTGAAATGACAGGGGTGAAGTATATCTAATATGGGGAGCGGGCCTCCATGGAGGCAGGCGGTGGGATGTGTGAAGGGGTGTGGGAAGGTGGTCATGGGGCTCTGCAGTGGATTGACTGGAAGATGCTGGACCAAAAAGGTGGTGGAAGGGAGGGGGTGGCTAACACGGGGCAGTGGTAGGGCTGCAAGGCAGGATGGCCCAGGGTTTCTGGTGGCTGCAGCAGGGGTGGAGAGGGAATGGGGCTGGAGGTGAAGTGTGGGGAGGGGCAGGCGTTGCCCAGCTGGAGGCGTGGGACTGAGCCGCAAGTGTCTTATCCGGAGGGCACGGCTCCTGCTGCTGTACGCGCCCCGGGAGGCTCCCTTCCTACACCAGCCCCAGCCCTGCACCAGCCAGGGGGGCCCAGAGCAGGAGGCTGGAGCGGGGTCAGCCCAAGATTCGCTGTAGCTCATCTAACCCTGGCCTCACTCTGGCCCCCTGTTCTGGGTCGCTCCAGGCGGTACGGGGCTGGGATCCAGTGCAGGGAGACAGCTGGGGCCATTTCAGAGCTGGGGGACAGTGGGTTTGCTGGTGTGGGAGACACTGGCACCAGGCAATGACCCTGGGTGTGGGGGAAGGGGCAGCCGCATGGGTACAGTGGACCGTGGCCCTGATCCCAGGGCCAGCTCATCTCTGCTCCCTCCCAAGCCCTGCCTGGTGCCTGTCCCAGCCCCAGGCCCAGCCCTATTCCCTATCCCCCTCCCCCCACCCCGCCCCCCACAGACTTTCTGGTGGCGGGCATGTGCATACTCAGCCCCCCCAACACTTCTCTCCCTCCCCCTATGTAAGCCACCGCTTTAGTCCACGTCCATTTTCTCATCCTCCTGTTGCTCCATTTCTTCCACCTCCATATCGCTGCTCTCGGAGTCACTCTGGGCCCCTGGATCCGTGGGGACACTGGCCTCGGCACAACCTGCTGCTCCATCCACATGGGCAGCTGCTTCTATTGGCCCCTGGATGATTATCTGGCCCTTAAAGCAGGAACTGTTCAAGTCTGAAAGTGACCCACAGAGACATGCCCCCAGATTACTGGGCAGGGTGCGTACGAGTTGGAGCCCCCAGGATGAAGATATCCAACCTGGGACATTGCTTACAGCGTGGCTCAGAGAAACAGCATTTCAGAGACGACAGGAGCCTCCTCAGTCCCATCCTGTGTCCCTTGCTGTTCCAGACTCACCTGACCACACACAGCAATCTTGATGCCTATCACCCATGGTGCGGCAGGCTGTAGGGGTTGTAGCACTCTCAGGCCCTCTCTATGTATTACATGTATCATGCAATTTCTAGGTTAATTGCACAATTAATTTTGACTGGCTACATGTGCAAACAAACTGTTGTGCCATAAAAAAGTCCAAACGGATATAAAGTTACTAGCTCCCCCACTTTGTGTTTGACCCTGTCCCACTCTCCTCATTTGGGTCTGACCCCACTCCCCCTTCCCCCACCCATCGAGTCTGACCCCACTACAACGGAGGGGCTCCCACCTTTCCTTAGCTGGCCCTGCTGCTTGTAGAGTGCTCTACCCATTTTTTATTTATTTGCCTGTCTGTAGGTGGGGCAGACAGAGCCGCAACACCAGAGGCTGCAGGAGGAGGTAGCACTGGTGGAGAGACTCCCGTTTTAACTCAGGTGGCCACAGCCCTGCCCACCCAGTCTGCACAGTCAATCAGCACATGTGCAGTTGGGCCAAAACATTATGGACAGACAGACAAACAAACAGACACGCAGACAGACTACGCCTTTTATTATATTAGAATTGCTGGAAAATGTGCAGTACTTTATAGGTGGTTGCTATCTAGTTTTAATGTGCTTTTTTTAAAAAGAAAATGTTTCATGTTCCAAGCCAAATCAATTAAATCAAGTCCAAATCTGTGAGTCAGTCCACAACCATAAGGGGCCCTACAACTAGCCAATATCCTTCACCCCCTCCTGCGGCTTCAGATGTAGGATGCCTACCAAAGAATTTGGAAACATGCAGGCCCAAGCCTGAAGCCTTGGGGTTCGGATGCCCCCAGGTTTTGCTCGCCCTCAGCTGCATGGCCATAGGAGCAAACTATGGAGAAGCCTCCCATTTCCACAAAGTGGGCATAAAGCCAAAACCTCAGTGGGTACTGCCCCATGCCAGAAAAGCAGCTGTCCCCAGGTGCACTTTAGGAAATCCACCTTAGTGGTCATGGTTTTCCCCTGCCAGGTAAGTTGCTATACAGTTTTAATGTGCACATGTAGCACAGTCTACTCATAAAGTTAGGAGCCCTATTAGCTAACTAGACTCCCAGGTGCAGGGGTGCACCATGCACAGCCAGGACTGCGAATCACATAGTTGAAGGGACTATCAGTCCAGCAGTGCCCACCAGCTGCACATGCTGGGTCCTGGGGCACTGCTATGATCTCCAGGTCCACAGGGTGCATGAGGTGCCTTGTGGCTGGAAGATTGCAGCAGCTTCAGGACCTTGCTTGTTCCTGGTCCAGCAGGAACTTGGGATCATGCTTTCTTTGCATCAACAATAAGGCAGGATGGGATCTAATGCATGATCTTCAACCAGGCCTCCCGCCATGCATGTGTGTCATGGCAGGAGGTATGATTGTGTGGATTTTGCATTAGATCCCATTGTGTCTTTACCTGCTTGTGTAGTGGGACCCTCAGGGAAAGACTGCCACAGGATCTTGCTTGTCTCTGAAGAAGAGACTATTCATGACTCAGCCCAACAGACCCTGCATGCACAGCTGGGCAGAGTGTGCTGTTCAGCTGGAAAACCTGCTGGGTGATTCTCTACTTTAGGTCCAGCCCGAGTTGTGCACCAGCTCACACCTCAACAAGCTAGAGCCCCAAGCAGTCAGAAGCAGCCCCTCCCATGGCAAGAGCTCCAGGCAAGCACAGGGAAGTGGCAGCAGAGTCTTGGCAGAGACATGGCAGAGGCAGAGACAGGGCAGTGCCTGAGTGGATGGTGGGGTCCACCCAAGGATACTGAGGAGAGAAAGGAGATAGGAAGCATGTCAGTATAAGAGAAACATCCTCCCTGGATCAGGAAAATTTCATCCATGCTAGAAGAAGCAGCAAGAAGCACCTCCCGCCACCCCCCCCACTGCCAGCTTGCTTCCCACCTTGTTGCCCCTCCCCAAAGCCATGGCATCCTGCCAAAGGGGCTCATTCCCTTGTACTTACTCACTGTGATGAGTGGTGTGGAGAATCCTTGCTCTCTGGGACCAGCGAGTGCCCCACTCTGGGCAGCTGGATCTGGAGCAGGAGAAGGAAGAGAGGAAACTGCCATGAATTGGTATCCAGTATGTCCCCTGCTCTGACCCTGCTTCCATATCTGGTGGCAGAAGAGGTCTATAGGATGGGAAGCAGGGGCTCTGCCCCATCCCACCAATTTAGTTAGCTGGGTAAAGATAGAGCAAACTTACTGTCACTGAATTGTAGTATCATAGAAAAGTAGGGTTGGAAGGGACCTCAGGAGGTCATCCAGTCTAACCAAGGGCTGATTGGTGTAGGGGAGAGGGGTGGAGGGCTAGGAAATGGGGCTGACACAAAACATCCTCACTCTGCCCCACAGCCTGGGGAGAGCAAACAACATCCCCTACCTGGACAGCCAGAGCTCCCCTTTCTGTACCCTGTCCCCACCCAGCCCCTTTCCTCTTCCTTCATAACTGAGCTGGTTGTGGAGCTCTGCTTCACTCCCCATCTGCTGCACATTCCCTTCCAGTATCCTCCAGCTCTGGGCTGCAGCCAAGGGTGAGCTGCAGCAGTCCAGGAGCAGAGGGAAGCAAGGCTGGCCTTTGTGGGCAGCAGAGCAGGGGAGGGAGAGGGGTGACTGCTACCTAGGGCTGGGCTCCACAGGCCCCAGTGCAGGTGGGGGTAACAAAAGCCCCATTACACTGTGAAATTAAAGGGAACAGTGCGAAGAGAAACACACACAACTGTAGGAAAAGGGACTGGGTTTCTGCTTTGATCCGGCTGAAGCGGCTCCAATTTGGAGCTGCCTCAGAGATCCGGCCACAGGGTAAAATGAGGAAGCAATGAAATATCTATAACTTTGTTGAGCTTGTTTAATTTGGATGAAACTTTCAGAGGTGGTAGCCTCTGCTGAGAGCATGAAGCCTGCCAAGTTTCAAGAAGATCAGTGCAGGAGTTTGGGGGGAACTGTACCCCAAATTCTTGAAAGCAAAATTCATGTCACGTGTATGTGTTACACCACAGCAGGGTGAAAACTGCAGGGTTGGCAGCCCCTGGTGAGGCCACAAATCCTGCCAAGTTTCAAGGTAATAGGTGCAGGGGTTTGGGGGGAACTGCACCTCAAGCTGTGGACAAGCAAAACTCGTGCCATGGGTGACACTGTGTGTGTTAAGGTGTAGCGGGGTGACAGCTGCACGGATGGTGGCCCCTGCTGCAGCCACCCTGCCTGCCAGCGGGC